GGATCCCCCTTCTAAAACAGCTGAGAACATCCCTCTCTTACATCCATTAATTTTGGCATTTTTCCTAAAATCTTCCAAAACTTCCCAAGAAAATAATTTCTAAGACAAAGTGACAGTCTTGAATTTGTAGAGCAGGAACTCAATCTTTCCTTTATACTGAGAAATTTTTTCTATAGTTTTGTTGTTTGGACCTGCCTAAGCCTTAAGACATTTCTGCTGAACAGTCCTGGGAGACACAGTTTCTGAGTACCTAATGAGGGCACCTTAAGAGTCCAGATTTTCATTAAGTGCAAAGCAATTTCCCTGTAGGGATCAGACCTCTTTAGCGTGCACCTGAAAAGGGATGTATCCAAGGGTCCCAGCCACTCTTGGAAACTCTTTGCATTTCTCTCCTGGTGAGGCATGCTTTTGACCTCTGACAGAGAGCCTGACTCTCCTGACCCTTCTGTCAGGCATTCCAGCAAGATGACAACAAAGCTGCCAGCTTCATAGGGACATGCTAAAGCTATTTTTAAAATCCTCTGCTCTCTGTCAGTTATAACACCCTTTTTGAAGGTTAAAATAGAAACCAGTTTCCAGCATCTACAAACCAAAACCCAATAGTTACTTTTGGCAGTAGTTACTGTCTGATACATTCTTGACAATCTCAGCAGGGAGGCCAGGAACAGGCTGGACATAAAGCCACTGACATCCTATCTGAAAACAACTCAGCCATACTGGAGAAAATGCTTTAAAACCCTATATGAAATGAAAACCTCTTTAAACAAGATTATCATAATATATGGGCAAAGTGTAGCTTGTAAATCCATTTTTGCAGAGCATGGGATGCTGTTCCCTCTCACCAAGGCACAAGCACTGAGATCTGCACTCATTATAGGAGCACTACTAAAACCAGCAAGACATAATGCAAATGTGCCACCAAGTCAAACTGCAGACACATTAACAGAGGAGGAAAATTGTGTTCTCAGAATTCTAGCTCATAATAGACATGCAAAAAATCAGATTTATTCTAACAGATGCTCAGTAAATTCTAATCAGAGTTAAATTTGGAGCTTTTCCCTTTTTATCATGCTTTTGCATTAACTGTGGCTGGTATGCATGTGAAGTACCAGCAGTCCCTTATAATAAGCAAATACACACACTCTCCTAAAAATGCCAATGATTCAGCAACAGCACTCGTTAACCAGGCCCAATCCCACAGAAGGGCCTTGTTATCAAGAAACTCTGAACAGCATTATTCAAATATTGATAGCTCTACAGCAGCCGTGACTACAGAAAGTTATGATATTTTACAGAGCGAAATCCATTAACTGAAGTACTGTACTGTGAGAGACTGAAATATCCTATGACTGTCTCAAAGCTTGCTTGTGTCTGTGTAGACCTCCAAGAGAAGCTGCTGCAGCCTGTGAATTGGTCTGGGGGATGCTGCCCAGCGAAGTGGGGGGAGTGTATTGACAGATGCACCCCTCCACACTTCTTTGTGGTTGCATTGTCCGGACTCTTTAGATAAGCCTCAAAGGGGCAGACATGGACTGAGCTGCCCCATCCTGTAGCCGTTTGTGGATCCATTGTGTAGGCCAGGCCCCATGCATGCATTGCTAATGAACTGGTAAGAGGCAAACCTTCCTGCCCTTGAAGCCGGATGCAATAAAACCTGTTGGACCAGAGAAAAAAAAAGCTAAAGGTGAGCAGATATGCTAATCAGAGGATACAATGAACTTAAAAAGGCAGCAGAAAGCTTTGCTCAGTGTGCATCCACCATCGAAGCCAGATCCATGTGCACCCACTACCGAAGAACTGAAGATGGAGGACCAACAGGACATCGCTGGATCCATGGTGGTGACTATTGTTGCAGCCCTATCCCAAATCCTTGCTTTATTTCTGTCTTTTCTTTTCATTCTGTCCTATCACTACTCCTCTTCACCTTTTCAATAATAAAAGCCTGGTTTGGGTACATGGCATTTGACCACATTTGTGTCTTAATCTCGCTCTTGGGATCGTATCGAAACTTCTCCTGACATTGGATCGGGACATATACCCCAAGGAAAAACTAAGTATCTTGTCCATGCAGAGGAACATTTCTTCAGTTTCTCAAAAAGATGACCGAGGCTAGCAAGAACAACACCAGTTCTGTTTCTTCTGCAGACAGAAAACATAGCGCGTTCCATTTTAGCAATGACAAAAAGAGAGCAGATAATGGAAAAGAAGGATCCAATGATGTTTTTCCCTTTTTAGCATTTTTCTAGACTTTGAGCTCAGCCCCTGTGGGACAGAAAGCTGGTGAACCACTAGTATAGCAAGAAACAGAAAATCAAAGAAGTACTTGCAGGGACCTTGACCAAAAGGATACCAGCTTATGGCAGCTGTCATCAAAAAGAGCACCTGATTTTTTTTATTTTTTTTATTTTTTTACATTTAGTTAGAATTTCCAATCTGAGCAACACTTGCAGAAAATTACTGAGAATCTCAAATTTAAAATGCTAAAACAGAAGCACTTACCATGTGGAACAACTTAAAAACTACTGAGGATACCTCACTATATACATCAGTCTCCCCAGCTCTGGTGCAAAACAGTCACGTTGTCTCCCATTTAAAAGTAACAGAATTCATTTCTAATCCTTATAGCTACACCAAAAAGCCATCAGAGATACGATCTGGGTTCAATATAGGGACTAAAAAATCAGAACACAAAGAACCAAAAGTACATATAAACATTAGCAAATCAACCCAGAAATACCACTGGTGACTTTTAAACGTATCTCAGTATTTTGAAAGGGGCTCAGTTTGTCATCTGAGTCTTATTAGCAGATGAGTTTGGATCATAAATCTGATACAGGACTGATCAAACCCTAACACATTAAGAATACTGCAGCTAGCTTTTTGGTGTAAAGACTTATGAATTCAGAAAGTTAGTTACTGGAGCACAGTTGCTTCAGGTTTACCCACAAATGTGGGTTTGCTTGTGTCACAGGAAGATAAATAGGCAAGTTCAGCCTTGCAGAAGGGAAAAAGGAGACAAAGGATTCCCTATCTGTAACTAGTCATGTTCATGAAGCGTGAAAATATTCAGGATGGCTCTTTTAAGACCCATTAAAGTGGCTGGCTGAGTCTGACTGCTTGAGGGCTTTTCAAACCCCTCTTGACTATTTTATTTTCATTTATAGACAGCTTTTACGAAAGCACGAATTTAAGATAACTATGCATAATACTGTAGAACTTCATAGGCTTTCTCAGTGAGACAAATAAACCTTCATTTTGCCAAGTCACATTTTTTCCCTAGAACATCATGCTGCAGTTTCTCTTCCTATTCAGTTAGGCTGTTTAAATAAATAAACCTCAGTCCCTCTAGCACTGTATCATTCATATTTAAATTGTTAGTCTACACATAATTGTTTTGTGCCTTCTGCACTTAATCCCTCAGCCTCTCTTGCTTATATACCCACTTGTGTTCAGGATTATTAAGTGCTGGATGGAATTTACAGCCAGAGTGAAGCCCCGTTTGTCATCAAAGTTTTGCTACACTGGAATTAACTCAGTAGCACCTGCATACTGATTTATGAAGAAAAGCTAATCTCAGTTTATGTCATACTAGAGTGCTTTTCACCATGTAACTGTGGAGAGTATTTCTTCCACTGGAACATGAATCACTTCTAATGCTGTCCACATTTTTACATTTATTGATGTTTTTCTCTTGATTAAGCCTGACCCTTGGGTTTGCCTTCATTAGGCATCGCACTGTTCAGCTAGCTTGGCAGAACAGACTAACAAGCTTCAGTCTGGCTTCAGGCTGGGAGCTTTGCCTCCTGAGCTCTGGCAGATAAAGCTTTGGCAATTTGAAATGTCGCTGCCCCCACACTGTCCTGGTGGCAGGAGTGGCAGGTGTGGACAGGTGCGGACGCCTTGCCTGCCCCTGGCTACTGTACTGGGCATTCACCAAGCAGGGGACCAGCTCTGTGTCTGCTGGTGTGGCAGCCTCCAGCTCTGAGGAGGGACAGGCAGCTCGGTGGTTAGCTTTAAACTACCACAGTTTAAATCCCCCAGCCTCAGGAGTTTGAGCCCTCTCATCACTCCTATTCCTTAAACCTTAGAGGGCTTTACCCATGAGGGTACGGGAGCACCAGAGAGTACTGGGGAGGCTTTGAAGGCAGATTGCAGTGCAGTTACCAGATTTTAGCTGTATGCTTCCTACAACAGGCAAAATCTTGGCTAGAGCCTCATGACACTCACGAGCAGTCTGATCAGAGCATCTTGGTTCTCTGGTTAAGGTAGGCAGGTCTTGATCCACAGTAGCTCACACTAACTCCACAGTAGCTCACAGATCAACCTGAAAGCAGTGCCGTTCACTTGGAGAAAAGTAGATTATTGGTTTGGGGTATGTCGTTATGCCTCAGTGACACCTCTGAGTGTTCAAAAGCACTTGCGAAGAGGAGGATGAGACTCCAAGACACTGATACAAAAACTTCAGCATCTTTTACACCTTTTTGTTGTTGTTGTTACAGACCTTATTATAACCAATCCAAACCACACCAGATCACAGATAATGTCATTCAAACTTCCATACTTGCTACAGTCATGTAATTCAAACCTGCTGCTTCAGAAAGTTTGAAAGCGGTTTGTAAGCATGAAGAAGGTAACTGATCGATTATCTGGGAAGGGAAGATGGACGGAGACAGTCGAGCCTGGAGCTGCACCCTTCAACCACCCCGCTGGGCAGCCAAAGACCCCTGCCGAAGTATTACATCGCCCTGCGAAGCACCTCGCAGCTTGGATACCTTCCAGCAGAGAAAGCCCAGAAGGGAGCGGGCGCTGTCGGGACGGACTGGAGAGGCGGGCTCATCGGCAGCGCGCCCCGCCCTCCCCTTGCGCCCCGCGGCCGGCGGGGGGCGAGAGGAGAGGAAAGACGTGCGAGGGGAGTCACGGCCGCCCGGGAGCGGCGGGGCGGGG